TATATATATATAATACACGAGTGCTTCTGCCAAATCAGGGGGGAAAATATAATCGTATCATCATGGTATGCATATGATGAAAATAGTAACAGCTGTACAGTGATTATTGTGCAGCCCCTTCACTGTTCCAGTGATAGTTTTCAGTAAAATTTAATTCCTAAACCGATTATGGCTGAAAAGCCATTGAAATGACCGATTTCATAGTAATGTAACTACTTCACTGCGAAAACTAAATGATTGATTCACAAAAGCTCCTGATTTCGAGGTAACATTTACGGATTTCCAAATACGTTATGATGTTAAAAAGTAAAAACTACGCGTGTGTGCAGAGTATAATTATCTGGAATGAATTGTTAGTTTTGGTGAATGTATGTATACACACAGCCGCGGAAATTCATGTAATCCAGGCGATGTATACCCATAGACACATCGGACAGAAAACGCGGGCTCTCTTTTTCTCTTTCGGAGAGATAGCCTGCAGGGTTGGGGGGAGGGGGTAACAAATTAATTTGTTATTTCTGCTCGGCTAGCATCTATAGCAACGGAATTAGCTGACCGGAAACTGATTCTTCCCTTTGGCGTATGTATATATATACAACGTGTACACCAATAAATGCGACAATAATCGTACACGTGTGTGCACGTATGCGCGTGTTTGTTCGGGATAACGCAAAAGCGCAAGCGAACGCGGCCTCTCGTAAATAAAAGGGAACGAGTTTTGCGCTCGCTGTTACCGTACGTATGGTATAGAATGTGTTTAATGGGATCTCACCTCCTCTCGTGCACGCTTTTTCGTATTCGCCGAGGCGAACATGGGAGAATGAGAGAGAGCAGGGAAGTTCAAGGGGGTGTGGGGTGGAAATACGGATTATGAAGAGTAGCGCAAAAATTACACGCAATTAGTAGATGGTATTGAGGAGCTCGGGTGTTGCACCTGTAACGAGGCCATAAAAGTACGAGCACTTGCCTTTTTTTTTTTTTTTTTTTCTTTCGTACGGGAGTCCGTACTAGGGGTGCGGGTAGTATTTTTCATTACCCTAATTAACCTTAAGGCTGAAAAGATTTTCAAATAACCTTAAGGCTGAAAAGAGGGAAGAGATTTTCTTTGTTATCACTATTTGTTTTTTTGTTTTTTTTGCTTTCACGAAGCATTCAAAGGAGATAACTGTCTAGTTACTTTTCCAATTACCATTTTTTTAATAATTACCGTTGTTGCCAGGTACACATTGTCATACACAGTTTGCGAAAATAAAGGTATTCTTTTGGTACATTGAGTACAGAGATTTTTTGAGGAAATACGCTCGAGTCGGAGTCATTGAAACGACAGATTACGTAGCGAGTGGGGGAGGCCACCTTAACGAGCAACTACGAAAAAAGCCCTCATTACCTGACATGCAACCGTTGCGTGGGCTGTATATTATATACTCGGTGAGTAATGTCGCAAGTGCAAAGGGCGCACTTTTCGATGAGCTTTAGAGTGACCAAAGCCCAGAGAACGACGTTACTCATTGGCTTAGCCAATTTGCAAAATGTTATATCCCTTGGCTGGACCCTACATCGACGATCTTGTCATCTTATTATTTTTATGTTGGAAATTATTTTCATAACTCAACAGTTATTTTATGAGAGTTCATATCCTTTGCTCTGATGGAAAGTAATTGTTTATTGTAACAGAAAATGTGCCAACAATTACTTAGTATTTTTTTTTCTTTGCAGCATTTAACTTTATCATATCATCTGAAATAGTTTACTTATTTGATTCAAGAATTATTACTTCTTCATATAATTTTCTTGGTAACTCATATTGTTCGCAAAAATAAATTCCAATCCAATGGCAAACATATACTGGGTGACTATATGCATGGATGTGTACAATTAAATTAAAAAATACCGAATATATAAATACGCCTCTGAGTTTATTGTACACTTTATATTTTTTACGAAAACAGCTTTAAAACCCTTCAACTCTCGTATGTCCACCAACGATACAGCTGGAATGACAATGGAAATATTTGGTTATAAAATATACTGAAAATTCAATTTTTTTCAATATTGATTTTTTTCGGAGCTCTAGGCGACGTAAAATTTAATTCCACCCAAAGTGCATAAGCTTTTTCAATAGTTTTCGCTTTCCAATTCATTGTTCTTTCGTGAAAAGCGAATAAAAATTTTATTCACCTTTATCATGTAATCGATAGCTGTAAATTTACTTTTTATACGACATTTTCAGAAAATTGTTAATCCAAATTAACAGTTAAGTCTAGTAAAATTATGAAATAGGGAGTTCAGGTATATAATCTTGTCACAATCTCTGTCAAATAGCATTATCCAATGCATGAATCAATCAAGTAATCAATCAATCAATCAATATGTATTACTCACAGTTTCAACGTATTAAATAGCTTTTTTTTTCTCATTTACAGAACTCGATACGATGCTGTACGGTTACACCAACAGTATTTACGTGTTGGACCACACGCCTGAATCTTTGCCGGTACGTATATATTTACTCATACTTTAATTCGTTCACTTTATAATGTGTACACAGCAGGTGTGTGCACGCACTTTGCGAACAAGCTTTGACGCGAGTGCTGATCCCGAGCGAAAAACGGCGGGTGGAGCGGCATGTTAATTCCGTAAATTATTAATTGAAATCCAAGCTGCTGATGTTGCCGGCGGAAAATTTTAATAATGCCCCTGCACCCTTAAATTCGCCGATAAATTCGAGGGAAATTCTCGACAAGCGTGGGAACACAGCTCGTCCGCCAACGCTTTATTCTGACCATTCGAGGCTGGTTAATTAAAGTCAAAGTCCATCCCGCGATTTTACTGCGAAATTTAATTAAAGTTTCGAGTGGCAACTTGCGTGGTTACCAATTTTGCGGACTCCGGGGAAAAAAAAAAAAACAACAACAACTGATTTTAGTTGTCAATGAGAAACGAGAAGCCAAATACTGTGGCCTCTGATGGGAGAGGAGGAACATTTCCACTCGAGATTCCACGGAGCTCTCGAGAATTTTTCGTTTTAACGGTAACGAGGTCAGATTTTCCGGGCTGAAGTTTTTTTAGCCAAGAACCCTTTTGCCGGAGTGGATGACTTATGACAATACCATTGAGTTTCTTTTGCAACGAAATTTGGAGTAATTTAACAATCGCATCATATATAACGAAACAGTGTAACTGAGTAGTTAATAAAATTGTTCGATAATGGGAAAATTATTTGTGAAATAATTAATTTTGCTCATTGACGTGAAAATTTGTATGAATAAAAAACTTTTCTATCGGTTTTGCGTTTCGATCGATTTTCCATGCCCAAGTAACAGTGAAAAATATTGTATCGCAAGCATATTTTGTTTTAAATTGTATTGAAAAATACACGCGCCGCACGTCAAATCGTTTTTGTGCCCTGGTTATTACAGAATTTAAATTGCAAAATTTTCGATCCACCGATGCTTTTGTGGTATCAATAACGAGTATTATTCATACGGAGGATACAAATTGCCTATTAAAATAATTTGATGCCATTTACGAGTGCCCAATCAACTGGTACACGTATTTTCTGTACAATAATTTTAGTATACTCGAAACGGTAAACAGTTATGGTATATACATCGCGCTGAATGCCATAATAGACAAGGGAGTACCGATCAAAATTATTTAAGGCACGTGAAGCCAATTTCGGTGCACAGTCACATCCCCGAATTCAAACCACCGGGGTGGTAGGGCTGTACTAAAAAATAGAGCACAGGTTTCGTATCCAATCAAATTTATAGCGGCTGAGGGAGTCCTAAAACCGTGAAGGATAACCTGCGCGCTTAAAGCAATTTTCAGCGAAAATTGTAGTGCCCGACGATCAACCAAATTTTTAATTATTCACCGACGAGCCGCGAAAGAGAGAAATAAAGGGGGAGAGTCGCATTCGCGTCTAGTGCATCGTCACAATATGTATATATGGATTTCGCCCATATGACGTCCAACTCTGATTTATTTTTCACGATAGCGATGCTGTCCCCTGTAACTCGTCCCATCAACGACGCTTTCGTTAAAACGCGCATCTACTCCTCCATCCTGACCCTATTAAGATTGTTGCTTTAATATATGCCGAGAAAAATGTCTATGTATTTTGGGTTATTTGGCGGCGTTGGATCCTTTGCTTATTATATTGATATCTCCACTGTCACGTTACATCTCACTGCTTGTCCATATTGTTTACTGTCAATTATTTAATTATTTATACGCACGACGAGGGGGAAATGACTACTACTACGATTGCTCGGAGAAAATAATAAAGACACGAGTTACAAATATTTCAATATCAATGCAATTACCTTGAAACGAACAACTCTTACGTTTTCGTACACGTATGTAATTTAGCTTGTGTGGTTTACTTACGATTTCATTGAAACCTCAAAAATAAGCTCAAGTCGTAATGCCAGTAAACGCGGGTCTTGAAGCTCTGCAACGATTATATATGAGTATGGTTTATTGAGATGGGCATGAAATCACGTGAATTGCCACTTTTAACCGAGCGAGCGCCAAACGTCAAGTGCTCCTAATTACAGTAATTAGTGTGCGCGGATACTTTATCCAGCCAGCAAATATCAGTTGCACGTGAAATCCATACACCTGTGGGTAATGCATTTATGTATAAATTCATGAGTGTATATGGGTGTTTGCACGTGTACACGCACACATGACACACTTGATTAGCAGGAAATGCACGGACGGCAGCAGCCGGTGCTCGTGACCAATTAATTGCTTTCCGAGCAGCGAACCCCACGTTACCTCTCGCGGCCAGTTTATTTACCTATATATCTACCTACACTCTTCTTTGAGTGTATACTTTGTTTGCGTGAAATGTACGCCAGAGTGGGAAAAATGACCTTTTAACGGATGCTCATTCGTAAGGTATCTTCCAATAGTACAGGGCTCGGCTAAAGTTGTACGCCACGCAAATTGAGACAAAGACCAGGACAATCGGCTCTTCGAAGTTAAGAGATTTATCACGATAAAGCCCTGTACACTGTACCGACAAGCACAGCAACTGTCCGAATAGATTATGGGAACGCGACAAATGGGCTTCCCTTTGCGTATAGTCGCGAAACCCCCATCGTGTCACCATAAATCCGAGTATATTAAAGTACCACCTTCAAGGTGTACAAGTAGATGAAATGAAAACAGTATGGCGTTGATGTAGTTTAATGTCAACGAACTAAATCCCTTTTTTCTTTTTCTTTTTTTTTTTTTTTTTTAACTATTGACACAGAAGGGCTGTGGAGTGCAAAATATTACTATACTGAACGCACTTCCCAGCGCGTTAAATTGGGGACCATTATGTAGCCTTTTGAGCATTAATTTATAATACTATTAAAAGTTGTACGACGTAACGGAAGCTGATTAAGCAGTTAAAGTTGCTTAATAAATCAATCAAGTTATTTCTGAAATGCTTATCAGCAACTGATGTGATGCATATTTTGAAAGTGTTGATAATTGTAATTACGGCATATCGATGACAAATCATTTGGGAAAATTTGATGGTTTTGTTCATTTATTTGTTTAATTTTTTAAATACTAGGACTGAAAAAACTTGGATTCAGGTAGCCCGTCACCGTTGATTGGTGAAAATCATTGTCGAAAAGAGTGATGTGGATTAAAAATTGAATGACAATTCGCCTCCGATCAACGGTATCGATTTATTTAATATTTACGTGTCCAACATAATATTATGGACCCTCCCACCATTACCCGTGTGCCATTAGAATCCCGAAGTGAAAATGATTTATTCATGCATCGGTGGCTCTCGACCGACGACTGCTCAGTAGGTACTCCGCGTTTATTTACGAGAGGCAGACGGATGATCAAAATCCGCGAAATCTCTCGGGGCTCAAACGTACGTATATATATATATATTTCTTCCCCGAGCTTCCCTTCCACCTGTACACAATAAAACACACCTACTCCGCGGATTCTCGACCTCCTTTTGGCACTGTATAATTCGCGACGTGCACCTATGTATGTATATACAAAGCACGTCCCGCCAACTGTAAACCCCTGCCCCCCGACCAGTCAGTCGAGCGCGGGATTTCCGGTGCCTTTTCAATTTGCGCGCCTCTTTTTCATGAATGCGCGCTGATGACAAACGAGATTTATGAATGCGCGCTCGCTTACCTGAATACCGGCCAAATTGCCCAAAGGAATATAATACGCGTTTTTCCTCGAGTGGAAAAATCTTTGCGAGTGTGTGCACGTGCAAAAAGCCATATGTGTCTACATAATATACCAAATGGCACATATTGCGTTGATTATTGAAGTGCTCTGTTTTTCTCGCGCGTCCGACGTACGCCGAACGAGGATCGTTGTTGCGCTTTCAATTTCCATCGCGGACCATTACTCCCAATTGGACCGAGGAGTCGATAATGAATTGAAAGGGAAATTGGCTGACTCACGCGCGCGTGGCTTTTTATCACCCAAGTCATGAGTGCACTGTTTCCTATGAACCTGGTATGGTCGAGCTTGCAAATCGACCTGATACAGCACGTGGATAAACGAGGGTTTCGAGAAACCTTTAAAGAGATTACCTAGCGCTGCATGTAGAGCGGTATGTGATGGTGGTGCATCTTCATATGTATATACAAGCGTAAAAAGTATGCATTAAAGTATAAGTCGGTTCAACGTTTACTATCCAAAAATGCATCACTTACAAAACAACCCAAGTTCAATATATTTTTTTTGCTTGAAACTTTTACGTGTTTGTAAAAGCTGTAGATAATGAATTTTAATAGAAAGTCGGACTTGCTTGCGTGGCTGTACGTAAATGTATATATGTTTGCACGTCGAAGTTAGTAAATTAATTGTGATCATCATGAATTTTAATGATTTGTGTAACTCTCATGTGTCCACATACGTATAAACAAATGAAAAAAAGATTTAATGACTTTATATACAATTTTCTTTTGCTACAAAAACTCACTCACCAGCCGATTCATCTACACCCCCCTACATTTACACTTATAAGGAGAGTTACCAGAGAATTCATCAATATCATTTCACACGTAGTTGTCTCAGCAATCGCGAAACAAGGGAGGGGGGGGCAAAAAAAAGTTAGAAAATGCCATTTCTATTGCAGCTGCTGCAGCGAAAGGGTGAAAAAAAAAAAAAAAAAAAAAAAAAAAGCAGTAAAGGAGAAAACGAGAGCTCGCTGAACAGAAGAGCTTTTTCTTTCTTTTTCCTCTGTAGCATAGCAATAACGTCAGTTACAAGCAGCACCAGCTACGAAGCGAGCACGGGAAAAGGTAGAGAAAGAGAAACGCGTCTTGGGGGAGGGGTGTTATTCTTTTACTCCGTAGCGAGCAACGGTCGAGTGGGCCAGTTTTCGCGACACATCTCCGGGCCGCTGGTTACAGGGAACGGGAGAGCGACAAAAAAAAATTGCCCTTTGATCTCGCCCGTACAGCACACAGATACCCCTTTCAAATTCTCCTCTTCACCCTCCGTCGCATCCTCGTCGACGTATCCACTTTTCTTTGTATTCTCCTTCCTATTGCGTTCACGCATACATGCACCATCTTTTGCTCGCGGCTGTGGTAGCCGAAACTTGATATTTGAGACGAAGCCAGAGATACGCTGGACCCCTTACCCCCCCCCCACTTGTAAATTTATTATATTACGCAATGAATTCCGGTATCGCTACATATACATCAAGAGCCCCGTGGTTCCTCGTTTTACTTTTTTGCGCTACGTACGGTGTGTACACGCGGGGGCCAGCTTATACATGGTATGCATATCATGTGTACGTGGTGCACCTGGTTACGGAAAAAACGCCCTGGACGCCGCTGACGCGCAGCACACGCTCTGTGATTTCGAGGGAAAATCCGGCCAAACGAGCGCACCCATACGCATTTTATGCATACTAATACGCGTCCTTCTTTATTTTTACTTATTCATACAAGTATGTTTAATTTAGGTTTTTTTTTTTGAGCCTCCCTACCTCTTTTAATACGTTGCCTGTTTGTTCATTTTTATTGCTTGTTTGTTTATTTACTTTTATTTTTTCCTAGCGTTAAATGAAAGGAATTCAACTTATGTGGAGTAAAGTGTTATCTCACGGTATATAGACTTAAAAACAAACTCACTTTGAAAACAAACTCTGCCGCTTCTTAAGTAGAAACAGACAAGACGAGATAAGACGAGCCATCGATAAGCAAAAGTGATCTGATCTAATCTGCATTGAAACTCTATTGATGTCGATGTGCAAGCACTAAATAATAAAACCTTTGTGAAGTTATTGTCTATTAGATTGTGATATCAACCAAAATAAGCATTTTTGTCGGATAAAGTTTTGTTTACCCGACCTAGAAGCATGTTGAATGTAAAATTTGATGGCGTCATCGATACGTAGAAAAACAAAAATAAAGCCAATTTCAGTACCATATCGGCAACTTCTGTGACGTGTGGAGAGTATTTTTTGATGTTTTTTTTTTTTTTTTTTTTTCATGTAAATGAAATAGGAGACAAGTTCACCAATAACATGCATCAACATGAAAAACCTATCATCGAAATTTGTACGGTTTCGCACGTGAAGATAAAAAATGTCACATTATTCTCTCATAATCTCACATTCGTTGTGTGTGTGTGTACGAGTAGCTATGTGCATGCATAAGTCGTGTAGTACCGTCTCTCGTTTCGCTTAAAGAAAAACGAAAAACTAGTTCTCTGTGCGCTCTAGGGGAGGAAAGAATGAAAAGAAATAGTTCGAGTATTTAAAGCAAAAGAAAATTGAATTAAATGGGTGTGTGTGTGTGTTTTTTTATGCAATAAATCACTCAGATCACGGTGAAATTTTTTTTTAGAAAAATAACCCATCCTCCACTCCATTTCTAATTGCAGAACAATTGTAAAGTAATACTTTTTTTACGACTTTTTCTCTCCATTTTTTTTAGCAACTTGTACCTACTTTGTGAAATTTTCCAAAATAGTTAAGCGGATGCCAAGTTCTATTTTTTTAACCCTGATATTCATGCACACGATTGTTTAGCATTTACAAAGTTTAAATATTCGGATACTTTGCGTAAGGATCAAGATTGATTTTCCACGTAAAGTAATTTGTAAAGACCGAAAGGCTGGCAGTAATATTTCAACCAAAAATACGCTGATGGTGAAATATTTTTCCCGTATCCTAGACAACTTCGTATTGTAACAAAAAAAAAAAAAAAATCCCAAAGCTCGGAGAAACAATCCATGTTTGGATTCCCGGACTGAAAAAAAAAGCAAAAGGGCAAGACGCGAGTCTCGGTGGCTTCGAATAATGGCTGAAAGGAAAATTTGCCCCAAATTCCGAAAGAAGTATCAACGAGAGTGCTAGACACAATGGGAAGATAAGAGCCACTGGTAGAATGACGGAGGGATAAAATACAGCAGCAGAGCACCCTTCGCTGCTCCTCGGATGCAACAAAACTCCACTGCTGTAGAAACACAAAAATTTCTCCTTACTATTTATTAGATCTCGTTTATTTCCCGTGCCTTTGAGAAGGGAGATACAAGGCTTCTTTTGCTCACCGTAACAAAGTCTCTCGCCAGTGCGAAGGGAGTATAAGTACTTGCCAGTCGGGGAGTGAAGAAAGAAAAAAAAAGAAAAAAAAATCTCCGATACCATTTTTTGCTCCACTCTTGGAGCTGCAACTTTTTCCCACTTGCCCGTACAGGATGATACACCGTCGCGCCGCGTTGCGCTACTTTTTGCTCAATTTTTTTTTTTTCGTCCCACCCCGTACCCTCGTTGTACTTACAACACCGTTGGGAATTTATTCCTCACATAAATCGATTCCACCGTTTTCCCGCTTACTCCGTTTCAATTTGCGAGACTGCGAAGTTTCCACACCCGAACGCGTGCGACACGCCTACATACTCGTACACCCCACACGTATTTATCTGATGCATACGCTTAATCGTGCGCTTCGGTAGACGTATACCAAAGCTTTGCGTTAAAACTTGCGTCGCTGGTAATAAATAAATAGTTAACTTGGGGTCAAAACGGTGTTTGTGGCTTGCAGGAAGTGGACATGCTGCAGCTGTTTGCCTCGCCAGCCGGCCGGGCGTTGGTGCGAAATAGCTCCCGAGACGAGCGCCAGCCGCAGCAGCAGCAGGGCTCTTCGACGTCGTCGCTCTCGCGGGGCTTTGGCAGCGGCTCATCGGCAACGCCAGCGACGTCGATGACAAAGGAGGGCCGTAGGAAGCGCGGAGCCTTTGGCAAGAGCAACAAGAGGCTGGGCAAGATGGGTGGCACGATGAGCGCGCCCGCATCGCCGCCGGCCCGCCAGCGCAAGTCCAGCACTGAGCTTTACAAGGAGGCCGTCGAGATACTCGGGCTCACCTGCAAGCTCAGCGACAGCTGCCGCTGCATCGACTGCCAGGTGAATTTTCACGTTGTGCCCAGCTTTTTTTTGTGTCTGATTTTGTCAAGGTATATCGATTATGCAATACTTGAACGCGCGTTTGCTGAATTTTTCTTTCAATCGGTTATTTGTCTACATTAATGTTTATACGAATACAAACAGATAAATATTTATTTGAACGAAATAAATAATCATTGAAATCTATTGAGCATTACGTTACAAAGAAGTCATTTATTTCATTTGAATGAATATTATTTAATTTGAATAAATATTTATTTTATTTCGATATATATTTATGTATTTGGATTCTTATACATGTTCATTAAGATTGACGAAATTTTTGCTCAGTTTTCCTCGTAATAGGTAATACCATTTATTTTTACATGGAATTTTGGTGATCAGTTTCTTTTATTAAGTATTGTAATGAAATTTTTGAAAGAATACGGGTACAGTTTAATTAAAATGAAAACAAATCCATTTCTTGATATCAGAGTTACTATTTTTCATTAGGCTCTAAAACTGTCTCTTTAATTTAAAGAGCTCCCTTGGTATACGTTTCAACAGCAGTCGTCGTCAAACTTATCTTTGCAATTTGAAAGTGGAAAAAAGTCTTGAAAAGATTATCACGTCCAAAGTTAACTTTGAGCTTACGAACTTTTTAGTGATTATCACCGAGTTGAAAATTAATTAGGTCGTGGGACATTAGTACCTCAAATGTATATACAATTTTTGTAATTTTAATATCCAAACCCCGCATTAAACTTGTGCTACGTGTCATGAGAAGTTTTTTTTTTTTTTTTTATCGTACGTCCCTTTTAACAAGAGTATAGTCCCACGCTCTGGATTCTAATGGCGTTGTTTTTTCTTTTTTACAACTATAATTTAATTTTAAAAATGATAATAAACTCAGACTTTAAACCTTATTTATAACTTTCGTAATTTAAAAGTACGTAAAATCTTCAGCGATTCACTTTAACTTGTTTACTTTCCTAAAGTGCTTACACAACTTAATAAAAAAACATTATTCAAGCTTTGGAGTCCCGTTAGCTCCAAAACTCTGAATCCTTAAATTTCAAATGAATGAACTTACTTTGGGGGGAGGAAAAATTTTGTTGCAAGTCCTGGGAAAAATCATAGGAAAACTTCTGAATGAAACTAAAACAGCCGTAGAGTCTAGGGTATTGTTGTTGATGAATACATAAAATCGAGACTCCTTCGGTGGTGTTTCAGTGACAAGCACTGAAGCGCGTTCACGTCGACTAATGCACTTACACATACGCATTTCAAATGGTCCGAATGAAATATTAACATGTTATTATCCTTTGGTTAACAGAGCAGCTACTTTCAATACGATGACGAGTGTGAAACGAGGCCGGAATTGGCAGCGGGAACGCCTGTATTACTTGACCACGCGTTGACGCATCCGCTGGCCTGCTCCATCCAGTAGCAACTGATTCAAGTGCGGATATTACGCGCTGGAATAGGGATAAATTAATGCTTCAGGTGATGGGGGAGGTGAAGAGTCTGGTTTTTTAATGATAAACTGTTTCGAGAAGTCGAGGTGTCCTTCATTTTTTTTATTATTACTAAAGCATTAGTCGACTTTTATGTGCATCGAATATTTGTTAAGATTTTCTATTGGACAACTGTATTTCATAAAATTAACTTTAATACGTGATATTGCTATTCTACTCTAAAATATTTTGAGCTTTACCAACTGAATTTTTATTTTAAGTTGAGAAATCACGTTGTCTTAAATTGAGTTGACAAAAAATCTATGAAATGTTTTTTCTTGACTTAATGGTAGTAATATGCTCATTTAGGTCATACATTAGGCCTCAATAATTGTCATCGACATTACAATTAATACCATTGTTATCGTCATTAATATTATAGTTGGCAAGGCTGTGCTAAAATAATTTCAAGTAATAAAAAGAAAAAAAAAATAACCTAAACTCGACAAAAGTACAATATAGGTAGAGTGAAGGTTTCGTTCTCGAAAAAACTAAATTTCATTCAGCTGAAGCTTTATTGTCATTAAGCATAATTATGTATAAACTTGTTGGAATTTCCGAGAAAAACGGATAAATGGCGGCTGATTGCAGAAAAATGATTACAATCAAAGTAAAGAATCAAGAAGAGTTTATTAATGAGACCTTGCGTAATCGCATTGTTACCTGATCTCGAATGCATAATTAATCCAGTGCCGCCAATATCGTAAAACGTCATAGGATAATAATCATCATAAATTTGTCATCGGGCTTGGATTTATGGGCGTTGAGCGTATGTATAAGCCACTACAAGCCTATCAGTATCACAACATGTATTTACATCACTCGTCATTGACGAAAACTTGTAAAATTGCTAAATTTTCCAGACATCGTTTTCATCCTTGATTTGGCAACATAAAATTCAACATTACTTATTTTTTACTGCTTTATCCCACCACAAATCAAGAATCATACTTGACATTTAAAAAATCAAATTCTCATAAGCCGTTTTAATGTGACTGCGCATGAAAATGATCTTGGATGTACTCCTGCTATACATACCTTTTATAAAAGTGATTATCTATATAGGTAAAAAAAAGTTTATATATTCTAGTTGATAAGTTGATACAGTGTAAGATAAATGATAAACGAAGGAAATACTGGCCTCAATTAACTAAAAAAAAAAAACAGACGAATTTTCACGATTTTAAAGTATCTCGTTTAATTTAATTTGCCTGGCCTAAAATTTTTATTAAAGGTCATAATATGTCTATGACTAAACATGAGTATTTGACGAATGAAAAAATAAAATATACCAATGAGTAAAGCTCAAGTGCCAAAAAAGCTATATTGTAAACGCACCTTGATCAAACGATGGAAGTATTTACCTCTAATATCTACGTAAATTGTAATAAAGTATAATGTATTCGCTCAAATTAATGCGTCATCATAAATATGTAATGTACATAATCTAAGAGACTGCAAACTAAAGCCATTATTGAGTAGGTGTTGATATTTCTACGACTAAATTGATAAAATAATGCGAATGACGAGGTGAAATTGAGTGCTCGAGTATAAGATGACAACATTTTTATCTTCAACGCGAAGATACTTACACTGTAATTTAAGAAGACTTAATTTATTTGTTTTCTATGATTTTTAAGCGGTTGTCACATTGCTTTAATTAACTTGTAAGTTTTTTTTTATTTAGAGTCTTTCGTAATTGTTCATACATTTTTTTTTGTTTAGTAAATTTTTCGTTGAACTTCTAATAAACATTGGTGCGCTAAATTTGTTAGTCTTTGAAATTTCATGTAAAAATTTTTTTTCTTAAAAATTATAGGATTTTCAATTCTATCTATTTGTTGAAAAATTATCTTACTTGTAGATGTAAGTGAACACGATCGATTATTGTAACTGAATTCATCGCAAACAATACCAAAAGTTAAATATTCAAGTATGAAATAAGCTCAAAAAGTTGAAAGTAACTGTCATTTAAAAATTACGTTGACAAAGGAAGTTTATTTACATTTGCATTGTACCTGTATGTAAAAAAAAAAGTTTATAAATAACGATAACGAAAACTTTGGTAGATTAAAATTCTAGAACCATAAGTACCTATGGTTCGGATGCTCTTAACTATGAAAAGTATTATGCGCATTGTTGTTGTTGATTATGTGTAAAAACAAAAACAAAAAAATATCGCGATAACGGTAGTCCCGAGAAAGTGCTTATATAACTATTATTTAATGTTGAAAGCCATGAAAGTTTTATACATGTAAAAAAATAAATTATTCATGTAAAACTAATGTTGGAAAAAAGAATGCTACGATTTTATTAAACGATTGTTTGAATATTCAACTGAATTAGTTGAACTGAAAATATAGATGTCGCGAAAAAACAGTATTATTTAAATTATTTTGCATTTCCCGGCAAAGTAAAGCTTTGCTTGAAAAATTATGTGAAAACAATATCGTGCTATAAGAAGTCTTTCTCACAGTGCTACAACAAACAATACGTCAGAATCAAATAATTGTGTGGTTAAATATACAATTTTTATTTACGATTTTATAAGAACTTTTAAACTACCCTTCCGTCGTGATAAACAATTTTACATGATATTCAATTCTTACTGCAAACTAAAATATCTATCGTAGACAAACTAAAAAAATTAAGACAAGCTTGTCAAAAAGACATTTTTTTATTGTAATATGAATTTATTTGTGTTAAAAGTAGTTTTAATAAATAAAACAATATTCACTTTGAAAAAATTTGTTTAGTTACTACCCTCGAAAAAAAAAAAATATTGTGATATACCTACCCCTTTTTTTTCCCTACTTGTCACAAACAATAATTGAACACATTTTTTTACCTTGAATTTATCGTGAGAACTTGGTACTTTACTTCATTCCGTACTCAGTGTCAACACACACTCTTATGTGCATAAGCGCTTTTCACACAGTCTGCAATCACGCATGTAATTTCACGCAAAAACTCACTCATGACACACTCTCATGCATAAAATTCTAGGTGTTTTTATTTTGGGATTTGAAGTCAAGAGTCCACTCTGGAAGCTTCGAATGTTCACCTCATTGTACAAGTACTAAAAGACGGGGGGGCGTAGATATTAGAGAGTCTACTCTCCCAGCTTCCAAAATTGTTCACTTTCTGTAAATTTTCATTGGTAAGTAATTGGCGCTTCAGCTAAAAGTTCAAATTTCAAATTAGTTTCGTTGAAGCTCAAGGGATTCACATTTTCTTCAATCGGTAACGAAAACAAAATACCGTAACCTACGTAAGGTAATTCATCCAACAGATGGTAAGAAGTCAGTTGAGTTGGAAAAGTTTATCGATGCGAGGTTTTTAACATTATCGGCAGATGGTGACCGATATTTTACATAAAATTTAGAAAGTGTGATGAATTAAGAAAAAAAAAAAAAAAAACCATGCAAGAACAATTATCGTTGCTGCACACAAGATGTTTTTGCTAAGTACAATATAACTTTAACTTTTGAATTCTTAGTTGAAGAATCAATTTTTTCTGTCTTTTAAATAATACTTATTACCTAATTATTCGGGAGTGGTATTCACTTTTTTTTTTTTTTTTTTTTTTTTTTTTTTTTTTTTTTTTTTTTTTTTTTTTTTTTTTTTTTTTACAAATACCCCAAAAAGATGTATTAGTTTGAGTTTTGTGATCGTTCACGGACCTAAAATATAACTTAAAAATTTAGGTGTGAAAAATTAATCAATTTTTCTCGAAGTTCATCAGTCCTACAAGTCTGATAAAATTTATCTTTTTTATGAAACACGTTGTATTTGAATAACACCTTTAGATGAAGACAAAACGAAACAACTACTAAGTTTGAGCCTTAATAGATATAAATATATAAAAAACTTGAGATAACCAAAATACACGCTCACGTACACATATTATAATCGTATGTAATATAAGGCGTGACGTATTACACCATGGGACACACTTACCAAAATTAGTTTTACAGCTTGATTATCGAAAATCCTACAGTGACACTAAAAAAAAATAAAAATAAAAAAAAAAAAAGGTCAAATTGAAAGTGTCACGTCGCACCCACAATGTCTTATACCAAAAAAAAAAAAAAAAAAATAAAAAAAAAAAAAGGTCAAATTGAAAGTGTCACGTCGCACCCACAATGTCTTATACCTACAATGTAAACGAAGAAGCTCAGGTTTTACGCAGTGATCAATATTTTTAGCTAAAAAATTATTTAAAACTTAAAATGCCCGTATCTCCGTAAATAATGGAGATATCTCAAAAAATCCGGTATTTTGAGATCAGAAAATTTGGATTATTTGTAAGTCAGATATACATTTGATATATTGGAATTTACCAACTCTTTAGAAATAATTCTGGATGATCTAATATCGTTTGAAATAGGTATTTTGTCTGCTACAATCACCTACGAAGTAGAGGCTTTACCCTAAAATCGTTATTTTTCGCCCAAAAAAGTTTAAATGCCCATATCTCCGTAAAGAACTTAGATATCGCGAAAAGGCAATATTTTACGATCAATAAAATAAAATAAAAATTGTCTTATTTTAGGCATGTTTGAGGCATCTAATTTATTATGTCCACTGTATACATGCACACTTTTATTGAAGGCTTAAGGAAATCCTTATTGCAAAATCAATTGGAAAAATGTGATGTCTTAAATTCACGGAGATTAAATCACCATTTTAAATTAACCAGGAAAAAATCGTTCTTTATACAGTACCACATATATATTGGAAAAAATAAAAGAAAGTTTGTGCGCCATTAACTACAATTCTTTTTTTTTTCCCATTGAAGGAAATAACATTGGGATAAGGATCATGAAAAACCGCACACCTCAAACAGCGCTTTTTTCAACAAATGTACGATATACCTGTCATATTTTCCCGAAACTCCATTATACGCAAGTATACCCGTACATTGCACGTACAGAACTCGACAGAATGAGTCTACAACTACCCTATATGCGCATAGCGAAGGCGCAAGTTATATCGAGTTAAAGTCCGTTTGAATACGTCGCGCAAGTGGAGGATGGAAGGGAAATAACGCGAGAGGGCCGGAGAGATACGGTCCTCCGTAAAAAGTTGCCAGAGGCGCACGCCTCATGCGATTATCAGCGAGGAAGAGAGCATCTCCTTACCGAGCGAAGGACGTCCCTGACATATAGGCGCGCGTCGATGCGCGGAATACTTAAACGGAACACAGCAACGCGGGCGTCGCCTTTCCCGCATCAAGTATTCGTCCTGATCGGCGGAAGGACGGAAAAGTGAGTTACCGTCTTTTCTAGACGTACATGCACATGCTCCCCCCTCCCCGATACCTCCCCAGCGTTCACCCCCGAGTCCATCGGGCCAATTGATTTTACTCTATCGCCCAATTTGGAACTAATAGATTTTTTCCCATGCAATCGCAACGCACAACTACACTCGTTTTTTGTACACCGGAAGTCAGTGCTCGCGCGTGAATGTTCCCGTTGCAAATTGTTTGTCAATTCTTAATAGAGTTTTCCCGAAGCCGTGACAGCGATCGAGCCGAAGAGAAGGCTCGGGGGGATCGAAGGAAGAAGGAGAAAAAGGCTCGAGCATCAATGATGCATCAGCAGCTGCGGAAAATGTACGTAGGCACGGTAAGCCGGGCTGTATCGAGTTGGGTGCCGCGCGAGAGTCCTTTGGGGTCGATTTGGAAGGAAGTACCCAGTGGTGGTCGAGCTGTTGTACACGCGAGTGAAGGAGGGCAAAAGAAAGCGAGCGAATAATCACTTTCATGCGGGGGGAGGGGCCGATTCGTCTACCGATCATTTATTTACGAGCCGGTAATTGAATCGAGCCTCGTGAGGACGCTGTCGACGCCCGAGATCTTGCCCCCGTATATCCAGGTACACCCACATGTTACATCCTAGCTGTTGTGTATGTATACTTGCTCGACCCTCGCGACGGTCACGGCCTTTTTCCATCATCTCTCGAGAATACCATTTTTATTTCATCAACAGGCTCAAGACCTATACTTACTTAAGAGGTACAGTTAGATGATATTTTTTTGTATTGGTGCTCATTAATTTGTTGACATAGGTTTATTCTGTGAAAGAAAGAGAAAAAAAAAAAAAAAAAATAGAAATAGCGAGCAGAGGGAGCCGCGTGTTTGTTTTGCCGAACAGGTTCATTTTGCGCGTTGATGGGCTCGAGGTTGTTCCCGAGAAAATCGAGTCCAAGACTGAAGAATTGCACGGGCACGTGCCTCCGAGGGTTCAAGCCTTTCCGCGTTGCCTCGGGCGCCCTATTTGTCACGCGCCGCTCGACGCGCGCTGTCTTATTAGACGACCCGGCCTTGACAGATCGACTCTTTTTTAAAGGACCCTCCCTCCCCTGCCCTTCATTTTTTTTACTCCCCCTGTTTTCCGTTTGAAAAATATCCCCGTTGATATTCCACGTCGTTTTCACGCCAAACAAAAAAAAAAAAAAAAAAAAAAAACGGCGCGTCAGAGAGGAGGAGAACAAAAAAAATAGGGGGACGAGGAAATGAAATTTGAATTAAACAAAAATTTCGCAGGCTCTCGACGAGCGCATTTCATTTTCGAGTACAACTCAAAATTTACATTTTACGCGCCGAAGCATATTTACATGTGCGGGCCCCGCTCGTGAAAAAATTTACATGCGCGCACATAACTCTCTGGATAAACAAACGTGCAGCAGTAAAAAAAAAAAAAAAGAGCCCATATACGCCGAGACCGCGGAATTTATTATTTCGCGGCCCCTCGAGCGACTGGGGCTCGTGTGGAAATTATTATTATCATTTCGAGCTCTTTCTCGCGTGCAGTGCCTGCCACGGTGGCGATTAACTCCCCTGCGCCTCGTGGGCGTTTGGCGCAGCCTCGAGATTAAAAATTACAAGTGGTCCTGGAAAAAAAAAAAAAAAAAAAAACCCACAGTGCCCCAAGAGCACGGGATTGAAACAAAAATATGAAACGACGTCCCCGAGTCTGTGGTAACTCGATCGGACTTTGCGCCAATAATCTATATTTCTCGGACGACCGGGAGCCACCAGTGTCCGGAAACGGGTTGCAAAAGAAACTATGTTACATACGTAGCATGAAACAAATAAAAAAAAAAAAAAAAAAAAAAATCCAACACGTACGGTCGCACGGGCTCAGGCGTCCTTGCATCGAATTGTTAAGGACAGCTGACGGATAATCCCGTTCATCTAAAATTCCATTACCGGCGCAGCGCCGCTCTGGCGTCATGAATAAAAGAAAAAGAAAAAAAAAAGCCCGCTTGCAGCGCAGCGTAATTGGGGGTAAAAATGACATTTTTCGCGCCGATTACGAGAACCACGCTTCGGTGCATACCTGTGTATAGTATATACGTGTACACGCGTCACGCGTTGCACAAAGCGAGATTTTGTTCGCGTCCGTCGTGCACCTATATCCTATCGACAAGCTCGCGCGCTTTTGTCCGCTCCGATGCTGTACCTGTACGTATGCACTGTTTGCGTATCAGCAACTTTTCTTTTTTTTTTTTTTTTTTTTTTCACGGCATGTTCTAGTTCGTCCATGCGTCCGCTCGTTTTGACCCGCTTGTTTTCGTCGAGGCTCTATTACATCGGGCTCGCGTCGAACTAGAGGCAATCAATATCGAAGCATTTTTGCGAACGGCTACATAGACGTGCAGGTACACGGTAAGCGTGTATTTATTATATATATTTTTTTTGGTGCACACGGGTGCTGGGTTTTCGTTAAATTTCACTCCATGGCCCACATCGACATCATGCAAAAGGATTGCGAAGAAAAAAAAAAAAAAAAAAAAATGAACTCTCCGACGGCACTCAGTAAAATGAACTTTGTGATTTACGCGAGATGAGGAATCACAAAATGAACAACAAAAATAAAAGATTAAACGTGAATGAGGAAAAAAAGAGTACATATATATATATCCGCCGTACCGTACGCACAGAGTAAGTACCAGTCAAGCTGCTGCAGTATTTTGAGTAAACCTTAGATTTACGACGACTTTGTTTTTCCCGCGAGCGCCGTCCTACTCTCGCATAAAACTGTTCCTTCCCAAGCTGCAAAAATCCAATCCAACCGCATAGGTACCCGCATCCCCATTCTGCCGAATTAGGGGTAAAAAATTTGTGACGCAAGCAAAAAAGGAACAGTAAGATCTAAATTTCAACTTGTATATTTATACCGAAGGAAGAAAAAAAGGAAGAATATGTATAAAAAAAGCGACACAGCTTAAGCCGTCTCATTCGTATGGATGTACTCGCAAGCTCCTCTTCTTCCCTCCGGGCAGGAGTCAAGTGTCTCCCAAGGAAGCGGCGTAGGGCGGGAGAGGGTCATATATTCGAAAGAGGGCCGGGCCTCCGAGGGGCTGTGAATACCTTAACAGGCATAAAATGTACGCCCACATATAGGAGCCGGTGTATACAAGTATGTGTATATATATATATGCATAAGTGCGCAATTTGCCACTGCCTACACGTCGAATGAGGACGAATTCGTCGGAGTCTCCTACTGATGTCGATCCACCGGCTTACACCCCGAGAGTTTGATTGATGGTGACTCGCGCTTTGTACGCATCACCCATCGCATATATATGTATATATATATACATATGTATACATATAGGCACACTTGCTTGAGATGAAAAATGGTGAGTCGCTGTAGATATAAGTGTACTTATACGTATACACTTGTATTGAAATCGCAATGGCCAAGCATATTTACGCCGGGAGACGGGAAACGCGAGATGCGTGAATCATGGGCTCGAGCTGTTTAATACCTTCTTCTCTATTATATAGGGAGAGAGATAGAGAGGAGGATCATTACATGCATATACATACACCTTCGGGTAATCTGTTTATCGGCGCGCCTGCGCTTCGCACAAGAGATAGTATCCCTCGTCACCCCTCTTTTGCTTCTACCTATGAGCACGTACTTGTACACATACATACCTATATTATATACGCGGGAGTTTGGACCCCGAGGACGCACCCCCGCGGCAATTAATCTTGCCCAGAATGCAATAACTGTCCAATCTGCCGGCAACTCTGGGCTACGTCACTGGGAGCAGCCCCTTTTCCGGCGCTCCTCGCGCCCGAGAGCCAAGTCAAGGCCCGTGTGGCATCGGGGAGAGGCGCGAGCCACGGATTCTCTCTCTCTCTCTCTCCTGGTGATGCCTCCTCTTGTATATTACAGGATATATTATATACGCTTACCTTGGATAGATATAACTATATGCCCTTGTCCAACACCATGCACTGACGGAGTGAGAAATAGCCGTCCTTTTAGATTTTACTGATTTTATATTTATATTTATATATATATATATATACTATATCTTGGAAAAATTTTATGTTGCGCGCGTGACTTACCCACAAATTTATTAAACTCGTATGCATAAGTGGGTACGAGTAAGTTGGGGAAATACCGCAGCATTTATCTCTGCAGCCAAGGCAGATTTTCAATTAACGATACGGTGGGGCGAGCTGATTTCATTCCTCGTCGCCGTATGCCACTCGATGTTTAGAGTAAACAATAAATCAGAAGCCAAAGGACGAAAAATCGACGGCGAATTTAAGCGGAAAGGCATTAAGCGAGGGGTACCCCCTGCCGAGTGGGGGGGGGTAGGGCTGTTATGCGTTGCCGTGTGTGCGAAGCGAAAGGGAAGCCGCGGTGGGGGAGCACAAGACGGCAAACATATTGGACCTTGGAGAGCCGGCACAGTTTGCTTAATTGCCGCAGTGCCAATTTTTGTTATTACCCAGAAGTGGAGCACTGCACTGTAACGATGGCGACGCTAAACTCGTACCGTTAAAAGCCGTGCCGGAGCTTTTATCAATTACATCTTTTTTTTTTCTTTTTTTTTTTCTTTCGCTTTTATCCACAACAATGAACCAAATCAAAGTTACCTGTAACTGTCTGCGTTAAATAAGTACATGCATACACACATGAGTCTGCAATTATCAAGAAGGGTGGAAAGTTAACTGGTGTAATTTACAAATAGTAACAGCATTTATTTTAATAATAATAATAATTATAATAGTAATAATCATAATAATAATGATGATAATATTAATAATCAAATGACAATATTCATGGTAATAGTAATAATAATAATAATAATAATGGTGTGATGATGATGATAATAATAGCGAGGTCTAATTACAATGATTTTACACGAGAGTGAAAGTTACAACAATGAAAATTCGGGTAGAGAGTGAGAGAGACAGTTAGTTCTATTAGTGATTTGTGATAATCAATTGTTTTTGTATTCATTTATACATATGCGTGTCGTTCAACTCATTGTCAATCGAATCTCTACGAATAATGTTTTCCCTCGTTCCATCTCTGTCGTATATTTATAGATTTCTCGTCTTTCTCATTATACCTTACAATATGAATTTATGCAATATGACAATAATAATAATAATAATAATAATAATAATAATAATCTACACTATATTTATAATATTTATAATTAGTCTTGGTGGCCCGTATCGCGATGACAGGCCAAGACTACGTGCACATATGATGTATATACAAGTTCTCTCGTTACACTCGATTACCTTTTTCTTAGAGAGCAAGCTATTTTCAGCAAAAAAATTAGTTTAATTACAGCTTGTTTTACGCTATTTATAGACAGTGGATTAATGCTTGCTTTTTTATTGTTTATCTAGTCATACAAAGCTCCGTACACGCGAAATAAATAGACCTCCTATTTCTATCTCTTAAGTACTAAATAACAATCAACAGTGACCAAAAAAAAAAAAAAAAAAAAAAAATTTTTTTTTTTTTTTTTTTTCATGTAAATGAAATAGGAGACAAGTTCACCAATAACATGCATCAAGGGCTGTGGAGTGCAAAATATTACTATACTGAACGCACTTCCCAGCGCGTTAAATTGGGGACCATTATGTAGCCTTTTGAGCATTAATTTATAATACTATTAAAAGTTGTACGACGTAACGGAAGCTGATTAAGGTNTTTTTTTTTTTTTCAACAAATTACGGACAATCTGCTTACAAAAACGAAAGACATTGGATTCGATAGCGAATCCGAAATCGATTGCACTGAGAAATTCAGACAAAACTATCATTCGATACACAACATTGCTATACGCATCGAAACTATAGGTGCACGTTTGAATTTCTTTATCGAGCTATACATTACATATACTTTTATCCCCCCTCGCCCCTAAAAATTGACATTTTCAATAACACTACTTTTTTTTTATGACAATGGTTGAAAGTGTCGATCCAACTATATTCGGCAAGTCGAATGAGGATAATTTCTTTCGTCGTTTAGGTATCACGCGCGTGTAAGCCCAACGAGTCAAGATGCATCTCCAAATCAATCCGAACAAGTATTTTTTCCATTCCCGTCAAAAAATAAAATTATCCGCACAATCGACCGAATGCACAACACACGATAAGCCAATTGGCGAACAAATGTGTGCATACACACGCCGTGAAATACCAAAGCGTAATGTACCCATTCGTAAAAAATGCACTCGAGCACCCGGTCGGGTGGTACACTACCCTCGTGAGGGGTTAAAAAGGAAAATTCGGTGGCGTTGATCACCGAGTGTACTTTGGCATCGTCATGGGGACACCAAGTCATCCGAGCCCACTGGTGCCCATAAACGCGATTCACTGGATCATGGAGGCGTTGGCCCCCGGGGGTGGTGGTGGCGGTGCGAGCGAAGCCATGGTCACGGGGCGCTGCACCACCGGGACCGCGGAGCCACCGCTGAGGTCGGCGTGCTGAGTCTCGCGGTGCCGGCGAAGATCGACCTTGCGCTGGAAGGATCGGCTGCACAGGTCGCAGTTGAACGGCTTGTAACCCGTGTGCTTGCGCGAGTGCGTTATCAGGTTGCTGCTCTGGGAGAAGGCCTTGCCGCAGATCCCGCACTTGTGTGGCTTCTCACCTGCAAGAGACGCACAGACGACCACGTTACAATCTCTCTGTACCTTTTTTTTTTTGTTTTTTTTTTTTTTTTTTGTTTTCCACATTTAAAAGTAAACAAAAATATTCAATCATGATGAATTAAATAACATAATGTACATGCGGGTGTTCTGGTGTAATGCTATATGACCCGCCCGTACTTCGAATCAAGATATCATACATAATAACGAATAGAGTCTCGGAAGTCGTATGCGCAAGCATGCAGGGCATCCGAAAGCAAGGAACGGCATAAGTAAGTGCAGAGAGGGTGAATCCAGCGCACCGCGGTCCAGCATCATATAAATATATACAGGTCGGGAGGGGGTGAGCGCGCGCGCGCGCGTAAGCGAGAGATGGACAGAGAGAGAGAGAGAGCAATAAAGAGAAGAAGGTGGTGGTATCCGGGATTCGGGGCACGCCCGGTCAAGATTTCCTTTCGAGCGGGAATCTCAGCCGCCCCCGCCGCCACCGACTGCGAAAAGAGAGGAGCAGGGAGAGAGAGAGAGAGAGAAAAGAGAAGAGCGAGCGCTGTACCCTGATTGGCGGCTGGGGGCGGCTCCGGGCCTTGGTTGCCACGGCGACGGCCTCGGCCCGCGCGCGAGCGAGACGGAGACAAACGAGGTGATAGGTAGGCTATACACGCGCGCACACCTACAACCAGCCAGGGGCGACTTGGGCTCTCTCTATCTCTCGTGATGCTGCCCTCCGTCGTCATCCCCCGCCCTGGTATATTTACTGCGACGAGGACGCGACAGGATAGAGAGCCGCTCCTAATAGACTCGTCATTCCCTTACGGATGTACGTATAATACTCCTTCCTTCGGCGGGGTACTCGTGACATGAGCATAGCCCCCGTCATTACATATATATTATATACACGATTGGCAATCACTATCGGCTGGGATACAAGTGCAATAATGTATTCGTATATGTATTGATGCAATATATTGTACGGTTGAGAGAGAGAGAGAGGGAAAGAAAAAATCAGTATGAGACGGGCCAAGAGGAGCGTATACACATAACCCACTTGGTCCCGAGAAAGCTATTCGCGTCGGGAATCGCGCGAGGGTTGCGATGAAATTCCGGACGAGCGGGTCGTCCGGGGGAGTATATATGGCAGGGGTGCAAGGGAGCAAGGGCGGACTGGAAGCAGCTCGGGAATTTTCACAGCCGAGAGAAAGCTCGCTCTCGGGAATTTACGGGCTCGTAAAAATCAAGAAGCGCCCGCCGGCTGGGCACAGCTTTTTCCCTCTCTCTCTCTTTCTCTCTCTCCCGCAGTCCGTTCACGTTGTCGGGGGCTCTGCACGTCCTTGTGCGCGCCATTCTGTACCCACGTACACGTATACGCCGGGAATCTTACCGCCCTGTACTCGTACATGTATATATTATATGTGTACCCCGGAAAAGCTAAGCCCGAATGTCTGTCTGTTCTGCATGCACGGCCTCGCTCATCATATTTTCTTTACCCAGTAAGGCATATATACTTTTTTTTTTTTTTTTTTTTTTTTTTGGTTCTTCACGCAACCATACTCGACGTCTCTCTGATTGCGTATCGACGTGTCATCATTGTTACGACCGCGCAATGGATATACGTACACCGAGTTGTGGTGGGAAAAGAAAAACAACGAATGTAGTTTAAAAAAAAAAAGAAAAAAAAAAAAGAGGTTGTCCTAACGAGGGTGAAAAATCCAGCCGCGTCAAAAGTAGCGAGGAGGAGGAGGGGTTCTCGTGAACTTAACTTCCCTCCCTGTGCCCCGCCTGCAACTCCCGGGGTCGTTGGAAAAGCGATCAAAGTGCCGTCCTGTTCCTCCACCACCCCTTCCCGTAGCCCACGGTGGATTCCTCGGGAAAATTCTTTTCCACTTTTCGTGCCGAAACGAGAGAGGGAGGAAGGAAGGTCGAGCCAAGTTGATGGCAGTACTTTATACGGAAGAGCGAGGGTATAGGGGGAGGGTAAAAGAACCCCCCCAAGATTTGCCAGAGTTTAATACGGTTCGAGGGGGGACGATGGCAGTCGTCTTGTAATGGCGTCTTAAGTTGCGCAGGGGCTCTCGGCAACTCGTCCGCCGCAGTCGATCCTCCACTCTATATGTATACACCTGCACGCCCCGGCGTAGGTCCTCCTCCCTCCTCCTCTCATCCAACTTTGAAAGCCACGGAAGACGGCAACAGTGGAGAGTGTTGGCAAGGATTAGCATATTCATCGTGAATTCAGGGTAAATAAATGGAGGGTTAATTATGACCGAGCGACTCGGGCGGGAATGATGAAGTTACCCGGGTGTACACCCCACCTACACCGAATCTACCATAATAATAATAATACCCGTTGTTATCATCTTTGAGCTGGCGAGAGTTGTAACCTCGCCGCGTATATGCGGCACGGTATACCTACTTGGTGATTTTTTTTTCCTTTACCAACTATCGTTGCGCGTACGAGTACTTTTTATTTATAGGACTGGAGGGAAAAAGGGAAAAATGCAATCGACCGATGCACGGGAGAAATCAATTCCTATAGAGCCGAACCGACCCCGTTGCCGCGCCAACGACATCCTATAGGATCGGAGGAGGCATCACACGCGCATCCTGTGGCCTCGGAACGGAGAAGGTGGAGATTGGCGCCGAGGAGGAATATACTTATCCGTGTGCACGCGGGGGGGGGGGAGGAGTAGGAGTAGGTGGAGAGAGGTGGGAGAGAAGAGGAGACTCGCATTGATTTCCTTCTTCCAGAGCCGAGATATACTCTCTCCGTGTCTGCGCGCCCTCCAATCCAAATCCCCGCGAGTCTGGGGCGTCTCTCTTTCCCCGAGGAAGTATGGAACAAGACAACGCCGACTCATATTTCACGCCGTGGGTTTTTCGAGGAGGCCTCCGAGCCCCGGCTTATCGGCCGATATCAATCAGACCTGGGCTTTTTTTTTTCTTCTCCCTCCTGCGGATTCCTCGGCTTACGTGCCAGGGGGGTCCGAGGGGGAGTATCACCTTTTATCCCGCCTAAATGATACATCAGGACAGCTCGACCGGGAGGAGCGTGAAACGTATATATATCGTCACCGATGATGGCCGCTCGGGAGGGAACAACAAAATATGAAAAAGAACAAACGTGTCACGTGAAATGGGGGAAATGCCTAGTATCTATACTTTCACCTTTACGGCATTTATACGAGGGATACGCATATCGATCGATAAATATCGTGTGATGTGTGATTACTGGAGGACGATCAATCGAGACGGGCACGACACGCGTATACGGTAAAAATGTACGGTTGAGCTGCAGCCGAAACGCGATTTCGTCGTCACTGCATGCGTACACAGTACAATCCCCAGGACTGCGCTTTCGTCAGTCTATAGGCAAAGCTCGATCATTTACAAGTGTACCGTGTCCCTCTCTCGCTTCTCAACCGTCGAACCGAACAACGAAACAATATACGTAACGACTGGAATTTGCTCCTCAGAGACTGTAGGTGCACGCGTGTACTGCAGAAGCGCGTCACCCACTATATAGCTGTAGTGGACCGAGTTTATATTTTTTCACCCCCTCCAAAGCACCCCTGATGTTGCGAAATTTGTTTTTTCTGTTTCACCGGTGGTCGTGTGCAGTTAGTTACACGTAGTAGCGCTTTAAATCTGGGGCATTCGGGGAATAGGTGTACGGTGTCGCAGAGAGAGCTTTTTTTTCCCCCTTGGAGGTACACGACTTTTTTTTATATTTTCGGCAAGATTATCCACCGGAAATGAAATGAATCTACAATGACGTTGCAGACGCGAAAATTACACGATACCTATACTGAAAAAAAGCACTATACCGATCCCCTTGCGGGCACAACATCTGAGATGCCCGTGTATTATGTCGCGAATTAACGTTGTATCGAGTCGCGTTTCCTCCACCCCCTCTATCTCTTCACCGGATCCTTGAGAGCTTCCGAAGAGCTTTGCCACTTGTCTAACGTCACGCCACGGCGGCATTAAACATGCAAATGTGCCGGAGATGGGTGTTACACCGAAGACGGCGAAGACGTGGCCCCGACGCCGCGACGATACCCTGTACATATACATGGGGATTGAATTTCTATGAGTCTCCGGCTGGTGCGGTTAGACCGTGGCTCGTGAGACATTTTTCCAAAGTAATAACGCCCTCGGCTCGCGTCGTTGGTCGATAAATTGTTGTGTGTGCACACACGTAGAGGCCGAATTCTTTCCCACCGGCGCGGCCAGCGATGCTCGGCCCGGATAAATCAGTTTCTATAAAAATCCATATACACGTCTCGTTTTGATCGCGGCGTGGAGAAGCGACGCGCAATTATTATCAATCAAGGGTCATAAAAACGCTGGTTACGCGGAGAGACAAGACGAAAGATCGGATTTGTACTCCACCGCCGGCCGAGCCATTCCCGTAATGGAATCGAGGCCCATATGGCTATCGCGCGCACGCACCTAATATATAGCTGTTGCGCACTTTATTGGTAGAGTCGCGAGATTATATATATATACGATCCCGCATTCTCGCGAGCTGTGTATAATATAGATTACGTCGTATAGGAGAAGCGAAGACGGGCTTCTTCTCACCACGTACAACAGCACTAAGGAGCTAACCGACTTAGCATCTCTCGGTGCGCCTGTGTACGGTATCGCGTTTCTCCCTGTGGCTCGCATTAGGAGGGAATCGGCTTTCTCGCAGCAGCCAGAAGCTACGCCCCGCCTGATACTTATCAAGGGCTGTCGCTGCTGTTCGATGCGAAAATCCGGTAATTCAATTTTTTTGCCTCCGCGCCCCTCCATATGTATAGGTATACCCACACATGTACAGCTCTGACTTTATCCATATCGACGTAACAGAGAAATGCGGGGAAATACTTTTTTTTTTTTTTTTTTTTTTTTTTTTCATGTTACTTTTATGCGCATACCCACGATTTTATCGTTTGGCATTTCATTGTAGACGATCAATAGACGCGATATCTATCGGGTGAATTTTATTTTCATCAATTTAAGAGATACTGAAAAAAAAAGAAAAAAAAAGAAAATCAAAATAAAAAAAAGAAATTTTATTACAAAAAATGTTCATTACGATAAGTGACGATTGAACGTACAATGGATGAGATTAGTTTGAGATGTAGAAAACAAAATTATTAGGTCACAAAGTAGTATCAAACACACCAAGGCAGAGACAGTGTTGTGACGAGAAGGTCCAAAGGCCCCCGGGGCGTGAATAATCCAAAGCGTCGTACCCTGTCAATATATATACATGTATAGCAGCGGAGCGGATTACACAATACGGTGGCATGTACAACAAGTGTCGGCTGTCGAAAAGTTTAAGCAGAGAGGGATAGTGCAAGGGATGCTCTTGGGGCGCCAAGTCAGTTGGAAACCTCTAATGGCTTGTGGCTCTGCTCGAGTGGCCCTCATACCCGTCACCCGCGACGCGGACCACTGCACTTGTGTCTATACAATACACGTATTATATCATATTTATATACTTGGACACCGATGCGCGTATCGACGTCCAACTGGAAAAAGATACTAGGAATGAAATTGAGCGTAATTTTTTTTTTTTTTTTTTTTTCTAAAAATTACATCGGCCACTGGACTTGATATATTCAAAGAAAATTTGTGTCAATCAAATATATATTATAGCCACATTATGGCTCTGTCGGTAGCGTGTCTGCCTACAGATCTTGATGGCCGGGGTTCAAATCCCACTCTGGACAAAAATGTCATCAATGAATGAGGTTTTTTTTCTCTGGATGGGATTTGTAATTCAATAAACCTACCGATCTATCTACCGTTTCCCCCTACTGTTATTAAACCCAACGTATGGCTAAATACACTTTATAGTGTCAAAATAAGCCATGTCTGAGCCCTTAAGGGGCGATAATGAATATAAAAAAAAATATATATATATATTATATATATTAGTAGTACCTCTGTCCATTAAAAATCAAACAGTAATGATCGTGCAATCGTATATATAACAGCGAAGCATACACCGGCAGTTCTCGAGTAGAAAATGCTCATTGTCCGGGAGGTAATAGCGCCAACCGGCAAATGAATCCGAGAAAGCCAAGCGGATAGACGGACGTGCCGCAGCGGCGTCATATGGGAAAACAAAGGGGTGAGCGGACCTTGTATATTGCTACACACCTACCCACTGTATTATACGCTATAGATTTTATTTAATGCCATCGGTGCGGTTCTCCGGTCTACGGCAGGTTGCAATGTTTACTGTGAAAACAGCCACACGGGGTGATTGCCGGCACAACCGAGGCACTGTGCCGTTTGACGAGAGTTGTATACACACGCGCGCATCGCGGAGTGCCTATATAGTACGAGAGTCGTAAGTGTCTCTATATGCGGTGGCGCCTGTATTTACTTTGAGTTAAAAAAAAAAAAGAAAACTCAATCCAGGTCTTACAGGAGAACTCGTAGGTCTACTCCAATCGGGTGTATCCGATGTAATGTACAACAAAGCTCCTCATCATCCGGGATCAAGATGATTTTATCATTATTATTATTTTTTTTTTCACCCCATTACAAGCTGTACGGCTAAACATCGGGAGGGTCTGTTTTTTCAACTGTCACCGTGTGCCGAGCACTCGGCACGTGCGCTCTCGCGTCTGTTGCGGCAGGTTGCACTTGATTCGTTTTTGCGCCCGCGCGCTATCACCGGAGAGCAAGGACCAGCACCCAGCCTCCCCTTAAACATATATACAGCAGCTCCACCCCTAGTTGGCTCTTGTTGCCACCATCGCCGTCGCTGCTTTAGGTATACCCACTACTCATCGGCTGCACGAGCAATATTTGCTCAGCTCTTATTCCCGCTCTCTAGGCCGATTGTTACCGTATACCTACCTCCCCCTACAAGTGGGAGCGTGTGCTGTATTATTATTATTATTATTGTAGCGCTGGTATATATAATACGTACATACACAGTGGCGGTACCCACCTACCTAATAATGATTTCACGTTACGCCACGGTCCCCCGGGGAATCTGACGGCGCCGCGCCCTCGTGCCTACTCTGCACATGGCCCGCTCTTTTTTTTCTCTCTCTCTCCTTGCACCTCGTCTTATACGTATACTTTTTTTTTCGCCCCTTTGTCCGTGCCTCGCTCGGATTGACTTTTATTCCCCCTCCCGGCCCTGCTCTCGTTACTCGATTCAATTTTAATTTTTCCATCCCCCTATACCCCCTCATTTCGAGTGTAATTTATTTCGTAACTTTACCTGAACCACTTTGCGGCACGATTTTTGGTCTTTCGTTTTTTTTTTTTTTTGGGGGGGGGGGAAGAGAAGAAAAAAAAATTTGTCGCCACCAGTGTTTTCATCAAATTTTACCCCCCAACGCCCCTAGCGTTAACGGGATCCAAACAAAAACAGAGTCCGAAACTGCTGGCTTAATTAAAGAGAAAGGAGAGAGCGATGGGAGGCAAAAGAGAGAGAGAGAGGAACGAGAATCGGGGGAAAAAGGTAATTCCCCGGGAGCCATGACGCGGATGGGCACATATTATACACGGGTCAGCTCGTTCCGCGCCTGAATTTTTCATCCCACCTGAATAATGAATTAAATGTTCCGTAGCGGCCCCCTCCATTCGTGTCTCCTCTCTTTTACGTGAGCGTATGCGCGCTCTTGACCAGCCTGTGGGTCCCCCAGGTTGTTAGCAGACTCGGCCATTGTCTTGTCTGACCCCCCCCCCTCCTTGGAAGGAAAACGTCTTTTTCGAGAGAGAAAGCGTCCAGGGTAATACAGATGTGTGTGTACGCGTGCGGGGAAGGGGGCCGAGGTGATAATTTGATAAGGCATCGGGAGGGTTGCCATGGCGACCGGAGACTGCCTTTTTCGCCTCCACTCTCGGTTACTCTACTTCTTCTTCTTCTTCCTCCACACAGCTCTGGAACTTTTTTTTTTTTTTTTCCTCGCTCATCTGCTCAGTCTCGGCAGCCTATCGTAGGTGAGGGCCAGCGGTGCGGCACTATATATCTTTTCCTTTCCTTCACGCTGAAATCCATCCTTGGCCTCTTGTGTGATGTACATACAGAAAATACCAGTTCAGTACCGTAGACGAGTGTCCCTCCTCCTCTTGATCTCGTTTCTTATTTAACACCCCTGTAGCCCATCCCTCTCCTTGTATATATACATTGTACGCTTGCGCCAAACTCACGACAAATTGTTTAGGATGAAAAATCAAAAGTACGATTCTCTCTCGTGTTGGAGAAAAGGGAGGAAAAAAAAAAAAAAAAAAAAGGAAAATAATATAATTAGGGGTATATACGTATGTAAATATGCCGTATACATAAAGTTGCAGGTCGTTAATCGGCGCGCACTTGATATCCTGAGGCATCAGAAAGGAGCAGCGGGCACTTGATTCCCACAGACAATTTGTCGGCAGTAAAAATCTATTTTAGGATTACACCCGCCCGGAACTCCGTAGGGGGACGGCATCGTCTGCCAAAACGGCGCTGACAAAGAAGAGCCCGGCAAAGAGAGAGAGAGAAGAGTATATATACGCCCGACTCTCCGACGTACACTTGTACATATATATACGCATATATATCCATGGGAAAGTCGGACCTAACTGCTGGAGGAGGGGGGAGGGGGGGGGAAAGAGAGTCGGGCGGGTGCCCTAAAAAGGCATTACGATTATTACCAAACTCAAACGTCGAGGGTTCGCCGCACCCGAGAGCTTCTGCCCGCCACCCCCTCCGTCCATCTCCCTCGATCTCTTTTCTTCGCTTATACACATTATATATATATGTATGTATACAACACAAATAAGCGCCACACATGTAGCATATAGGAATATAACTCGCACGCGCTATAAGCATATATATACGTGATATTATGTGCATATGGAAGTTGCGGAGCACCTACACGGTGGTTCGCGTATATGTACATGGAACTGACTCGCCCCAGACGTTGGATTTTTTATTATTAATGTTTCGAATCAAGCCGGGCCAACGTCATAATTGATATACTCGCTCGCGAGGCTATTTTGCAATTCTACTTTTCGTTATATTCCACCATCCAGTGCGCGGCTTAAGAGGTGAAGGACCCACCTGGATTCGCTGATCTATTTTTTTAAATATATTTTATGGTACAAAATTATCAAGTGTCCCTTGTACTTATATAGTATTCACGAAAACGGGAGGCAAGGAAAAAAAAAAAAAAAAAGTAATTTGAAAGTGTAAAGTTTGCGTGTATAGGTGTATAAATGTATGATAAAATAAGACTCACCAGTGTGTATGTACGTGTGTTTCTTCATGTCGCTCTTCTGGTGGAAGCGTTTGCCGCAGTACGAGCACGGGTAGGGCCGCGTGTCCGAGTGTATGAGCAAGTGGGTGCTGAGGGTGCTCGAGCGCTTGAAGGCCTTGCCGCACTGCTTGCACTCGAACACCTTCTCCGCCGAGTGGACTGCACGGTGCTGCGTCAAGCTTATCTCGTGGCCGAAGGTCTTGTTGCACAGCTCGCACGCAAAGGGCCTCTTACCGTTGTGCGAGCGACGCGCGTGCACCTGTACTTGCATCATTCATTCATTCATTGGTTATGTACTTAAAAGCTTCAAATATATATACGTACGTACTATATGTATATATACTGACCTCGAGGCCGTGCGGGGTCGTGAAGGTCTTGTCGCACTTGACGCACCCGTAGTCCCCGAGGGGGTGGTGGTGGTGATGCAGGTGGTGGTGGTGGTGGAGCGCGTGGGACCCACCGGGGGACTGCAGTCCAGCTGCCGCCGCCGCCACCGCCGCCGCCGTCACCACGGACGTGCCTCCGCCACCGCCGCCGTTGCTGCCCCCGCCAGGATGGACCCCGCGTAGGAGCGGGTGCAGGTGCGGGGGCAGCAAGTGGTGGGGCAACAGCTGGGGGTGCAGGTAGCCGAGCGGGTGGTGCTGCTGATGCGGCTGGTGGTGGTGGTGGTGGGGCGTGATGACGACGCCGTTCTGCATGGGTAAGGTCGAGTAGAGTAGCGAGGTCGGGCACTGGTGTTGCTGTTGTTGCAGGTGAGCCGAGGGCGGGTCCGGCCTCAGGAGGGCGCTGACGCTGAACGAGTCGCCCGACCTGCTAATCGACTGTTTTCCCCCCCGCTGCTGCGACTCGGCGGTGCACGGCTGCTTGACGAGGCTCTGCGTGAGCAGCAGCGTCGAGTGGGGCGACGTGGGCGAGGGTGGTGTCGTGGACCGGGGTGGGCTCGAGCCGTCGTCGTACTGCTGGAGGTGGTCGTCGACGTGTTCGTCGACCTCTTCGACGTCGATGTCGATCTCCCCGTCTTCGGTGCGGGGCGAGTCCGTGCATGGCGAGCGCGAGGCCGAGCGCCGCGTCGTCGGGCTCCTCGATAGCCTCAGCAGCGGGGAGCGGACGAGCAACCGGCCCACGCTGAAGGACAACTGATCTGTGGATCCAGACAAACGTTCAAACGTCCTTCGTTAGACAATGTTTTCCAGTGCATTTGGGCGCTTTTAATACAATACGGACAATATCGAATACGTGAATGCTTTTATTACAAATTTACAAGTTTGAACTGTAAACATTACCGCGCTGGAACAGTCAACCTTAAAAGGATTGGTTAACAAATTTTACTTTCCCGCATAGAAGTTTTTACTGCTCTAACCATATAATTGTAACTGTTAAGACAATAAATTTTTACTGTTAAAAATATTAATTTTTTTTTTTCTCTCGGCGTAAATCATACTATAATTCTCCATTGATTTTCCTGCAGTTGGTCCGGGTGAATATAAGAGAATAAAGATAAAGAAGAGAAAATAATAAGACAACGACAAAAGCTAAAAAAGACATTGGTGGGAGGGTAGGGTCGGGTGGAGTGGAGCGACGTGCACCCTCCAGAATCCCAAGCACGAGATCTATACGCTTTATAACAGATATGCGTTTGTACCTATAAGTACTACTCTTTTTTGGGGCAGATGTACGGGTGTGTGTGTGTGTACCTGTTATGTACGTGTAACTTTTGTACGCACACCCTCGTACGCTTTATATATAGATAAGAAGAGATAGAGATAGAGATAGAGAGAGAGAGAGAGCAAGTCCCGCGGAAATGAAATTTGAGTCACGTAGTGTACGTCTTTTTCCGGAGAGCAGGAGCAGGAGGTGCTTTCTGTAACGCTAACGAGGCGCCCTACCTATAGGGTGGCTGCAGCGTGGCGCCATCAGAAACGTGGAATCCCAGAGCAGAGAGGAGCCAGGCAATCTCGTGAAATGGGTCTCATTTCTCGGATCAAATACATTTTCGCTTCTCGTTTAATCTCACCTCCACAGACTTGGCTCACTTTTTTTTTTTTTTTTTTTCCTCCGCTTGCACGCCTACACCGAGCCACTGGGTAATCCTGACTATTCCAATTAACCAACCCCTTCACTTCGGTACTTGGAAAATAAGGATTACCACAACAGATTTTGTTTCTGAGTATACAATTTACATATTTCATACAGCCACTGTTCAAGTTTGTCAGCACTAAATATACCCACGTATCGATCAAAGTAACGTACAATGATATGGATGCTATATTCAGCAAAAGGTAAAATCTACGGAAAACAGAAGTGCAGTATGATAAAAAAAAATTGTTGCGCAGCAAAAACGAGCGAAAGGACGAGTCTTATGTCTCACATATATATATATATACGGGTCAGCTCGTTCCNAACATCATTCGTTGAGATGGAGATATATATATATATACGTGTACGATTTTGTGGGCAGCAGGAAAACGTAAAATCTCACCCCTACCGAGTGTATTCGCCCGAGGAGCCAAAAAGGAATTGCGGTGCAATCGTCTAAAGTGCAAAGGACACGCGGCCCCTCCCCGGCTCATCGCCGCTATACACAGTGCACGGACCGTCATCTCGCGGTGATCGATACGTCGTATACCCGATACTACACCACGTCCCAGCTAAATTCAAACAAAAAGCACCGCAGCCCCTGGAGTCACGGTGCAATATGAAATAAAATTATAAGAGTAGGCGCTAGCATCAGCAGTTGAAGATTTCAATGGGGCCCGGCGTGATTTATAACTCGACCGATCGGTTCGCGAGCGAAAAGGGATCGCGCCCATACACAGCACATTGGTTTCTCCTCCTCTTGGGTCTATCGGGCGCCCCCGCCTTTTCCTCACCACCTACTCGTTCTCCCATTATTATAATATCATGCCGCTCATCCACTCTCCCTTTGGATATTAAACTCGTAATCCGTGCGCGCGACACGCGGGCACGTGCCGACTACTCTATACGTCTCGCCTCCCTTCCACGGACCGCATCCTATATACACTTGCACAGCCATTATGCGGCCGACTAATCGCGTTTAAAGCTCCCCCACCCCATGTATATATGTACGTGGGTGGATAGCTGCAGCTTGATCGTATGGTCGGAGAGCCACTTCGGACACCCTCCCGCCCCTCCTCATCGTGATTGTCTATCTGTCTGTGATCCATATCTGCGCGCGAATGGCTTTCCCAACTATATTTAATATACTTACTTACGGACAAATACTAATACAAAAGTGTCAATGCGGCGTTTGGCTGCTCGCACGCGTCACCTAATGGATAACGCACGATCAGGATACGTATATACGCGTACATCTGCATCGAATTCTGGGAGGGGCTGGTTTTTCCCTTATTTCAATTTTCACGTGTGATATTATTCCGTTCAAGTATTGGGAGGACTTTGTTTCGCTCGACGGAAGAGACCACTCGCGAGTGGTTGGTAAATTTATTAAGTTGACGGAGACGACCGATTAGCAGCTTATATATATATATAGGGAAACTGTAGCGAACGTGAACCCGCTAAGTGTCATGAGGGGGGGGGGGTAAGATTTTGCAAAAAACAAAAAAAAAAAAAGGCCCGCAATAAGGAGGAATGGAAAAAGAAAAAAAAAATAGTTTGTGGTGTCTTGAGAAACGTCGTCATGTATAGGCGATGAATCATTTTGGAAGACGGTGCACATAAATCAAATTCCAGCTCAGCGAAATGCACTTTGCGAGCGAATGTGTATATGCATAGGTATATATACACGTAAGTTGCACAGGGTCTGCTCGAGCACCAGCTTCGTCGGCTCTCATGACTTTTCGGCGCAGCTAGTGCACACGAGAGAGGGGATGGGGGGGGGGAGGGGAAAAAAAGCGCCTGGGAAAGAAGCGCGAGGATATAATGTGGTGATGATGAAGACGAAGCAAAAGAAAACAAAGAGAGAGAGAGGCTCTCGGTACGCGCAAGACGCACCACGGGGGAGACAGATGGGCGCCCGGACGTAAAAAGCACGGCTGATGCCCTTCGTTGTATGCGCGAATTCTTTTTCTCTCTCTCGTCGTCGTGTGTTCCATGAAGGCAGCTCGATGCAGTTGGTGCAGGGCAAAAAAAAAAAAAAAAAAAAAAGGGTTGGTTCGCACGACGACATGCGAGAGAAATCAAATTAATTGCGTAATGCAAAGAGCAAAGGGAAAAAGAGGGAGAAAGAAGTCAGTTCGTTGCCACCGGCTGCTTCCCCAATGCGCGCGCGTGTCTCTGTTGCACACGTATATATAGGTATATATATGAACGACGCGCTCTACAACGTGTATTATACACACGCCAGTCACCGACTCCACCCGTTATTATTATCATCTTATTTAATCTGATACCATCTTCTCGGCTATCCTCACATTATAGGGGCGTATAGAAGATTTTTTTTAAATTGTTGTACTCGTGTACAGTCATTCGAGTGCGATGTTTATACAAAGTAATCGTATCGCATCTTCAGGCAGTGCACTTACAACGCGATGATCGTATCAGAAAAAGAGCTTTATTCGGGCCCAAAATTACGAGAATATTGATTTTAAACTAAATAATAAAAGCATGCGATATGAAAGAAAAAAAAACATTTTTGCTATGATTTACTTTACAATATATGCACAGCAGTGCTTTATCTGAGTTGGTCAATGACAGATATGTAGCATTACCAATTGGATCGATGGGTACAGGAAACATCGAATGTAAGTATATTTCTGATTACAGTTGTAAATTATGTTGACGAATATTCGTTCGTTGTCAATCCAAAATCTCGTTGTTAACGAATCACTCGTCAAGTAACAAGTGGACCTCTCTATCGGTGCAAGCCCATGGGGGAACTTGAATGGGAAAGTACACAAACTCGTAAAAATCGGAAAGATCGTTAATTAGCCGGCACACATCTCGGGTTACAAATTTCGAGTGTTAATAAAAACGATCTTCGTGATCAGCTAAGATTCGTTTGGCTCCCGGCACGAACAAACTCCCTTTTAGTAATGAAAAATGAGTCATTTTCCAACAGTAATACCATAAGGGTGAATCTTTCTCCTTGAAATTAAAGGGCCAATGAAATAAAAAAAAAAAAAAGTACATAAAATCTGTAGTCTCGAAAATATGTGGAAGCACTTCTTCTTACAAATGTTTATTCCGTGCTTTTTATCGAACAACAAAGTAGGACAGAGCGCGTTGAGTCAACACCCGTATGTACTCGAGCAGAGACCCATTAGTGCATCAGCATCGGGTACTCCCGTGTAGTAAGTATGTACGCGGGATTTCAGATTTTTCGTAAGTATATGTAGGTATACCGAGTCGGTCACGGGTCTCGCGACGACAGCACGTGCGCGTCCAGTGACACGAGCAAAGGAGACGAGGAATAAACAAGTTGTAATAAACGAAAAAAAAAAGGGGGAAAAGGAAGAGAAAAAGACCAAAAAAAAAAGTATAGATACAGTTTAGCACTTATATATATGTATTGCGTAGTCGCGGGCGCTTAGAAGATTAATAGAGGAACAGAAGGCCAAGACGAAGGAGGAGGAGGATGGAAGGCCCGAGGGAGACAATTAGATCGAGTTAACGGAGCAACTTTAATCTTCTGTCGTCCGTCAGTCGTTTACTGCGTAGTGATCTGCCGCTATTAGAGCCGTCGTACGCTCGAGCTTCCGAGCGGCGGACCCTTCCGCTCCGCTGATGCACTTTGACGTTATATATGTATACGCACAATCGTACACGGCACAAAAAACCTGAGTATTGGCCTCTGCACCGTATACGTGATGTAGTATATTGTACGTCATGCTCCTGAGGACGTATAAGACGCCGCGACGATGCTCCATCTTGTGTTCGCGCGGACGAGGATTTCATTGGACGGAGGAGCGCGAGGGTGCACTCGAGTCTTGTTTCTCTCTAATCGCGCGCGATGATGGATCCATCCCTACCGTACATATATACACACATGCGTTTTGCCGATTATACATTGCATCGGTTCGCGCTGCGCGGAATGGATGGATTCGATTAGTATGCAGAGGGAGAGAGAGGATGTCGCGCGACAGCGGCTTATTCAATTATATATTGAATTCTCGAATCTACGCCCGAGCAATATAACTGTGAGATCCATGTGTTTTGTCGCTCTTTTTTTTTTTCAGGCGATATTTTAACTACGCTTATATACGCAGAGGCTCATCTTTCATACGTGATTTTTCGGCAACCGAGCCATTCTCGAGGGAAAACCCATTTTATCGATCGGTGCGACTCGACTGCGGAAGTTTAGCCGCCGTAAACATCAACGGGTTATTACACGATGAAGAAAAAAAGGCCAACTTTGCGCGCGAGCTGAGGGACGTACATATTGAACTTTCAGTTTTTTCGATCGTTCCAACAGACCAGTAATGCAACACCTGTGGGATGATGCGTACAGCTTGACACGTAATATTTGAAACGCTATAGGTACATCCGTAGACATAGTTTTTACCTTGCGTGGAAGGTGTACGTAAGCTCGAAGCTCAATCAATCGCGGGACGTCAGGATTCCACTCGAGGAAATTTGAATCTCAGAAAAAGACGAGCTATACAGCATTTGTTGTACATAGGGGTAAGTGTACCTATTTCCGTGGCGTATGTTAAGAAATCCAAATTAAATGCACCATAAAATATTGAGTAATGACAAAATCCTAGGGATTTTTTTCTTAAGTCTTGCATAAACTCTTAAAGATTATTTAAAAATTTTTTTCGAGACTAAAAGTTGAATGGATTATTGTTAAAATTAACAAAAATAGTATGCAGGTATTACCGTGGTCATGTACCTATTACCGTGGATGTCTCAATCACAGGCCTCACCACGGTAATACGTACACGACCGTCTAACATACTCTTGGTACCTAATATCGTGCATAAATATGATTTTCTCTATAAATTAATCATATAAATATTACATTTTTATCCTAATTTGAGCTATTCTTGGATATTAATATCAAATAATTTTTTTGCGACCGCTATTACACTTTTTCAAAAATTAAACTGCATATTTTTGTAAATGCACGGTAATAGGGCAGACCACGGAAATATGTACACTTACCCCTAGGCGAGCTGGTGTCAAATAAAATATTAATCTAGTTTTGCAATGAGTGTAAGAGCTGTCGGGGTAGCTGCTTCGCTGTCTATTTACGTGTTCATTACCTTCACAGTGGCAGATACGTATTTGGTACGTGTACAAAGATGAGCCCACGCCATTGAGGGTAGTTTGACACTTGTTTGTAATGTGTATACTGGACGGGGGTGAATGCCCGTAAAAAAAAAATTTTAAACCAGGCCTTTGTAAAAAAAACCTGCGGAAATGATCCAGACATTTGCCCAAAAAAATCCTCACCATACTCCAGTAAGTGGATATTGTCTTGGACAGTGCTCAATAACGCATAGATGCCGTACTTCGTACGCAAAGGCAAAGCAAGAGTTGCACTTTTTTTACTTTTTTTAAAAGTTATTCATGGTTATTGCAAAATGATGCAACCTCATCCCAATGTATACATGGAAAAGCAAGAGCTGTCAACTAAGTAAGCCTCGATAATGATGGTCCGTGATTTTCATCTCCGATGTGAATTTTCCGCGTATCCGCCTGCCACTGAATTAATACGTATACATACACGTCGAAGTACCTGCTTATGTACACAGCTAGGGATTGTAAATCATGAAACGTGCATCGCGCATTACGTACACGTAGGCAATCACCGATCGAATAAACGCGCGCCCGAGCGGCTCGGCCGAACAACAGACAACTATAGGCGGAGTATAATGAGGAAGCTGCAGTCAAGCTAAAGGGATTAAGAAAAGCTCGGCTGCCCCGGTGGTAGGTACTTGCGTATGTATATAATATATAGACGTGCACCTATAAAATCTATATACAGATGAGTACTTGGGTTGGTTCGTATGCACGGAGGCGGCATGTACGAAGACGATGTCTCGTTAATTCAAAGATAGCCCGTGCGTGGCCGGTACTGGACGAGCGCGTGCAGATCGAGTGATTGAAAGAGCGGAGGGAGGGAGGGGAGGAAGAATAGTGTACATCAACAACGTCGGCTGAGGAGGCCGGTGCCGCGGCGCAAAAGAAGCCGACTCCAAATCCGGTTTGCCCGTGCAGCTCTGCGATCCGCCTCAATTGGGCCTCCGATGACCACGGGAACACACAGAGGGGCGGCCAGAGGCGGTGCGCCGAAAGGATTACGGTACATATGGATGTATTTATACATAATTACGAATGCACGCGTTTGTGGGTTACATACGCTTGTGCGGGTTGTTACAATATAGGTGATGGGGGGTACACGAACGGCCGGGCGCGTGCTGCCGTTTATTCCAATCATTGAACTTATCTTTCTTTTCCGTGTAGATACTCCTTTCTCTCTCTCTCTCTCTCTCTTATTTTTAGCCCTGAAAAATTACTACTTGATCAGGAAAAATCGTGTCTTACGTGACAAGGTAATCAATTTCCTAGCCAGAGACACGCAAATTAGTTTTTTTTTACCGATTTTCGCTGGAAATTATGTACTTTTTTGCTCGATAAATATATTGACTGTTATCAACGAAAAACTATTGCTTGGTATCTATAAGAATTAGCCCGTAAAGTATTGAATCAAGTATATTGGCCAGCACGAACATTTTCAAACCACCAAAAAAAAATGTATAGCCTTCTTGCCAGGACAAAAAAATAACTTGCAAGCGAGCTTTTTTTTTCCCCTGTATGGAGTGTCGTTCAGAAGGTCTGCGTAAAAGAAACCAACCATATATACAACTTATCCTCATTTTCCAGCGATACATAGGTGGGGGGGATGATGGCTTTGGTATACTTATCCCGAAAGTTTGTACAGGTTTCACCTTTTGATGCGCTATATGACAAATGATCATCGATATCGGCGAACCTCTACCTTTCCACGGGGAGGAGAAGAAACACATACACGTATCGCCCGAATGAGAAAAGTTCCGTGAATTACGGAGCCGTTGGGGATAATAGTGTTGATCGTATAATGTACGGCTCGGTCGAGCCCCCTCACCTGGATCAGATTTTGGGAAGGGTGGCAGGCTCGTGACTTCGCTGGCGTTGGCGAACGGAGCCCACAGCCGTGGAAACATCAACCGCACGTCGCAACCTGCAACAAACAAAACATTATTATTTTACACCAACGGGCAACAACGACTGATTTAACGAATTGCAAAAACAGCCGCTCCACTCGGCTTCTCTCTCAAATTGCGGCACTTGGCTTGATTTGGATTGGGGAGGGAAAAAAAAAAAAAATGTAAAAGTGAATCTGGCAGAGGAGTGAGCTCTGATGAATTACGTATTCCTCGAGCGTCGGAAAAATTTGCCCCTCCGCGAGTAGTGGTGTCTTCATTAGAAAGTACGGGGAGGGAGGGTCTCTCCTCTATATTTATCAGCCTCCCTCGCTCGCTCCGAGCGAGTAAATCGCCCCCCCCCCCCCATCCAAACGCGTGCTTTTCTCTCGATTAAAAAATACGCTCGTTCGTCTTGAATGGCGTTTATCGGCGAATCTGCCGCTCATCGGGGAGGACAAAATTACTTTCTGAGGTATCGATTACGCACAAGCGGGATAAAAAAAACGACGGCAAACAAGGAGGAATGAGATTTTAAGCCTGGACCAATAAAACCTTAGCCGTGGCGTACAATATGTATTTATGTGCTTGAACTTTGTTCTCCTCGCGACAGATCGGGGTGCTATTGTTGACCGTGCGCCCAATAAAAGGAAGAGGCTCACGCGTGTCGTCCCCGAAGATTACACCACCACGGGACCTTATCGGATCGGTTATAGGTACACCAGCGGCTATTGTGTGTACCTGTGTGCAGCGAAAGAACGCGCGGGAAAATGAAAAATCCTTAATCCGGGGTAATAGAAGCGCGCCGGGCTCCTCGGGTAATCCGCCGAGGATTAAAGAGCCGAGCCGCAAAGTTATCTTCGCCGCGGCAGGATTAGCGAAAATAAATCATGTTTCTCTCCATAAGCGTGTGTGTATACCTATGAGGGCAGAAACAGAGATAACGCCAAAGCGACGATTTTCTTTTGTACACCTAATAGTATATATATATACCTGTACGTCCTGCTACACATCGTGCATTAGACAAAAGTTCAACGGCTATCACTCGGTTCTTTACAATAACGCACATCCATGACTATTATCTTACAAGTGCTGGATGTTCGATTTAGGGTAGCCATATTGGGGTGTATATGTTAAATGTTTTTTAACGTGACGATAACATTTTTATTCCTCAGAGATATGACGTATCGGCCTTTCGAGAAGTGGCATCAATAAGTATGTAGGTATATAGGTACTCGATGATATACATTCGAATCAATAATCGGTGCAGGTATGCGTACGTTGTCGTTTGAATATAACTAAATCGACGATACACTGATCTGATTTATATAAACTTTGGGAACTCAATTGCCTTTGCAATCTTGGCGGATCTTATCCGGCAAATCACACTTAATCCCCGTGACTCTTTTCGCAACCGATGCATCGGCTTTATTGCCCGCGCGAGCTTTGCCGCGAGCGCGCGATATCCAGATTTTTCATTTCCTCGGCACATCTATACGCTTGACGAAAAATAAGCTGCTTACACCTGCAACCTTATCGATCGAACATGCACCTTCGACTCTTTCTATCTAGTTGTGAATTATTGCGAAAACGTTTTTTTTTTTTCATCTTTTTTTTCCCCTCCGATAAACAATACTAAATTGTGTGATCGACAAAAGCGCGATTCCACGAACTACGTAACATTTCGTCGATAAGCTTTTGGACGCGCAATTCGTTCACGTGAAATCCGGCCAAGCTGCATCGTTGGTGATTATACCAATAAATGGTAGGTACAAAAAAGGCAAAATCTTGTGCAAGTGCGCGTAAATGGGCACGCATAGATTTGACCATCTCACTGAAAACCGAAGTCTGGACAATGTAAAAATTGCTAAATACTCGTCTACTCCGTGTGGTATTTATGTGTCGATTTGTTTTTCTGTAAAACATCATTCGTTGAGATGGAGCTGATGAAATAGCTTTGGGGGCGTTGATTTGTTTGCTTGTGAGCATTGCCGTACTTGGTACATTTTGTCTGGAAATTCGCAGCGCACACTTTGGTTCGCAGTGTACACAATGTATAAAATGATGCATGTACTCCCGTCAATGTTTGCAGCAATAAAAATTAAGACAATTTTTATTGTAGAAGCAACGCGCATCATTTTTTCTTTTTTTTTTTTTACCGATTGAGAGGAAAAGTTGAGCAACCTCATAACTGACTGATATTTATCTATTTGAATACTACGAGTATAATTGGATGAAACTTTTCGGTGAGCGGATGAGTACGAGGTAAACTTGCTTTTTCTTGAAAGATAAATTTATCCTTTTTTTTATTTTTCAATTTCCATTAC